CATTTCTGACAAAAATCCATATTGGAATTTTATGCTTTTATGCGGAGTGAAGGTTTATACTAAAATATGCATTCTGGAAATACTTGTATGTGAGCTGCAGCCCATTGTAAGGACTGCGATGGTGGGGCGACCCCGGCGTAGTGGTTAACATTCAACAACTTTCGTTTCAGCAATGAGTGCTTCCCTCGAATTGGAAATCATAAATCCAGTGTTCAAAAACGAGATGACAGCAACTACCGTGGAATAAACTTCATGTGTACATGTTCAAAGGTACTTGAAATCATAGTGAAAGACTTTCTTTTTACCCGCTCTAAATATTACATTCCGGTCGATCAGCATGGATGCTATTCAAAAAGGTCGGTTGCTACAAACCTTGCTGAATTTACCTCACTGTGCATTTAAGCAGTTGATTCCGGGAAGCAGATGGACGCTGTCTACATGGACCTGAAGGCTGCTTTCGATCGGGTTGATCATAACCTTCTTCTGAAGAAGCTGGAGAGGATTGGTGTATCGTCTGCTTCAGTGGATTGGTTCAGGTCGTACTTAACCAACAGATCGTTATGTGTAAAAATCGGTTCAAGTCAATCGGATATGTTCGTTAATCAAACTGGCGAACCACAAGGGAGCAACATGGGACCACTGTTGTTCTCGTTGTTTATCAACGACGTGTCACCGATTCTACCTCCGGGAGTGCGACTTTTCTATGCTGATGATGCTAAAATTTATGTCATTGTTAGCAGCTGAGAAGACTGTCTTGAACTGCAGAATATTTTGAATTCCTTTGAAAACTGTTGCATAATGAACTGTATAACCAACAATCAATAAGAAACTAACGATTTTATATTGGCTCACTACTTGACTAGCCTATTGGTCCCAAGCAAATCGATTACGTACCCCATTCTAGTCAAAATTCTGGTACTACACTATGTTTGTTTTGATTCGCTATGAAAGTTTGACAGATAAAATGAGGGGTTAGTGGATTTTCCTATGTTTCGAGGGGTGAATCGATTAGCTTGGGACCGAAGAGAGTACCAGAGCTGAGCCAACATGTTGAGCACGTTTCTTCGGGACCTTCTGGTCTTAGAGTTACCTCTATGGTATAACTCTTAGCGTTGAGAAATGTCAGGTGATCACGTTCAGCAGAAAGATCAAGCCAATCTTGTATCCATATTCGTTATCCGGGCAACCTCTAGTGCGGGTACAACGTATTCGAGAGTGTGGGCAACACTGCATTGTGCAGTGTAACCAGTGCTGAGATTTGTCATTGTTATTGACAGACTTTCGCGTGATATTGTCAAAATTGTTCATCACATACTCATTGATAGACTTGATCTTCAAAAAAATCCTTAGTCAAAATCTCATTCATTTTTCGTCAATGGCAGAGATTCACCTGGTGACAAAAGTGTAATTGCGTGTATTCTGAGTCACATAATTGTTATCCAAGCAGTTCAGAACGTACATGCTTCTGCACCTTAATGGGTCCCTGTAATTGTTACGCTCAAGTCATTTCATTTCGTTTCAAATTTAGCCAATTAAAAAATCTGCACATGTCTATCACTGACAGCATTGTCACTGACAATTGACATGGTTTGTCTTGACGATGACTGTTAAATAGCTCAAATGAGTTGAGATTTTGCAGCACTGAGTGTGACATAGTAGCCTCTGCCTATGGTTCCTACAAAAAATTTTCATTCATTTCATTTTTTTTATTATTATAGTCACTTTAACACTCTTGGGTCATTCGTGACTTATCCGGGGGTGAGAGTTGAACTCGTGACTTTGGCGTGAGAGGTATGGATGTTAACCACTACGCCGGGGTCGCCCCACCATCGCAATCCTTACAATGGGCTGTAGCGCACATACAAGTATTTCCAGATCGCATATTTTAGTATAAACCTTCACTCCCCATAAAATCATAAAAGTCCCATATGGATTTTTGTCAGAAATGGGTTATCAAATGGATAATCGATTGTAAACTACCGGCATCTTACAAAACTAGGTTATCCCATCCGTGGAGGAATAAATTTTCACCAGCGGTTTTCTTGGCTTGCTGTTTTTTTCCAGATGAGACTGATATTCTTTTATGGGCTGTTCACGAGATGATTTTCTAGACGCAATTCATTTGAGGAAACAAACTTTGTTCGAAAAATGAGCGAACCTACAAATAACAAAGTTATTTAAAAAAAAAAACGTTACAGAATCTGTTCACGAAACATTGCAAATTTTGCAAACTTTTCAAGCAAATCTGTAATAGAATCTTACATTTCCCGATTGGGGAAACATTTTCAAATTTATTTTATGTTTCCTATTTTCTCTAGAATTCTAGAGGAGGATATATGAGCAATAAGTTAAAGACCACGTCAGGTCCATATTGGCCATCCAGTGCCCTCGGAACAGGTTCCAGTTTTCCATACAAGGTATTGGAAAACCCGTAAAAATGGTCGATTTGTGGATTGATCGGCAAAATGTCAAGCTTTTTATAATTTCATGACCAATTCATCGAAAACCATGTCACATACCCAGGACAACCATTGACATTCGGAACGGGTTCTAAATAGACATGCATGGGAAAAATCATTCACTCACGCGAGCACGACAGAAACAAAATAACCATTCTCACCTACAAACAAATATGTAGATTATTCCAACCAAGTGACTCTACAGCTAAACTCGGAACTGAAAGCAGTTTATGGAATGAACTGTGATATTCGTCTGCTTTTGCCTCGGACACTTGCATAACAGGCTATCAAAGTACAGTACCAAACTAAAATGTCATACGACAGGCTCTGTCATACGACACTTTCGCCGAAGACCATCACAAATGTATGTATTTTAGTCTTCTCATAATAAGAGCAGCTGGTGTTGTGCTTGTGTTAATTCTGAAAATAGCAAGCAATGATGTTCTAGTAATAACATTTCTGATCGTAGATTGTTTAATTTACATCGAGAGAACTTTGTTCAAGCCATGCAATTCTCGCATCACTTTTCAAATAGACCAATCTACATTGATCGATTCTCTTCATCGACTCTCTTTTTCGTTCATAACTTGGCTGCATTCATATGCTGGACTAATTTATCTACAAGATCCGTTAAAAGAAAGTTTCATTAATATCGCGAACCTGTTCTCTAAAGCGGGAACATGGTTCATCGACTGTAAAACGTCAACATTAAAATAATTTTCAATGTTTGGATTGGATTGTACAACATGGAAGTGGAAAGAAACTGAAACGACGGAAGGCCTGGCTGGAAAAAAAACTGAACAATACAGGTTTAACTCATACTCCAAATTGGCAGCAGGCATCTGTCCAGCAGATGTAGTGGTCACTCTTTCAGCTCATCAATTCAACGGATCTTCGGTCACCATGAACGCAGCTACCACCACCTTCATCATCATAACAAGCAACAATCACATCCCCACCAATGCTAACCGCATTGGTGCTTCCTCAACTTCCCACCCAAGCTACTTCTATGGTCCGAACTAGCGGAAAACATATCCACCGACTCTGGGATAATCTTCAAAGTTTTCTTCACAACTGGTGCCGCTTTGTCTCTTTGGAACAGGACGTACACTGGTTCAGCCAACTTGATGAACTCCACCACCATTCTGACAATACGGCGCAGCTGAAAAAACTAATAACATAGAGGTAACTCTAAGACCAGAAGGTCCACAAGAAACGTGCTCAACTTTTTGGCTCAGTTCTGGTACTATTTTCGGTCCCAAGCTAATCGATGCACCCCTCGAAACATATGAAAATCCACGAATCCCCCCATTTTATGTGTCAAACTTTCATCGCGAATCAAAACAAATATAGTGTAGTACTAGAATTTCGACTAGAATGGGGTACGCTTAAATATGTACTTGGGACCAATAAGCTAGTCAAGTAGTGAGCCAATTTAAAATCGTAAGCTTCCACCGGTTGCTAATAAGCTACACACTTTTCGAATTCGAGCACTCAGAAGGAATAAGTTTGACAACAACCTGACAATGACAACTGCAGCTTTGCATTTGATCCAAGTTCATGATTGCAGGAACGAAAATCACGATCATGGGTATCGGGTAACCATGATTTTATTTTGTACGTTGCTGGCGTTACGAAACCGCTAGTCACGCTAAAACGGCGTGATCAAAGCTCACGGATTTTAGATTAAATTTATGAAAATTCGATTTACTCGGAAACTAAGTCATGAATTCGAAAGAAATGTAGATCAGCTTATCGTGATTTTTTGTTCACGGTTTTTTTTGCGTGTTAATATTTCAGCTTTTCCTAGCCGTTTCCAAGTACAAGTGAATTTACCAGCTGGATTTGTTATGTAAACATAATCAGCGTGAGAACAAAGGAATCAAAACTAACCATCAGAAAAGGTGTCATGGAAGCCAAGAGTTGTATATACTTGGGCAAGAGAAAATAACTTAAGAAAACCAAATTCAGTTAGGATAACTGCTTAACTGGCTACCTAAATATGCTATTGATGAGCCAGTCCTAAAAGGTAAAGTAGCAAAAATAATACCTAAAAAATGTTCTACGAATAACGAACTAAAAAATAATATAGTTATTATAGTAACTGACGGATTACGAATACATTTCTTGATCCCAAAAACAATAATTTGGTATTTAAATGGTATTCTAATATCAATCCAATTACTCCTTTAGGTGTTATTTTCAAAAAACTGAATGATCATGTTTTGTTATTTTGGTATTTATTTCATATTTAACAAAATATTTCGGTAACTGAATAATATCAAAGCAAGGTTTTAAACCACAAACATGCCAAAATAAGGTATCATACCACATTAAGATTCAGTAATGGGTTCTTGGTGGGAACAGAATCGCTATTCAACACGAGCTTCCACCTCTTCCAATATTGTCAAATTTATAGGATTTGTTTCACTTTCCTCAGTGTACCTCATTGGTATCACGATATTGTTATATAATTTGAACGCCCTCTTTATTTACTTCAAAACGCATCTATAATAATAGTTTAATTCTTGTTTATTCCAGACAATCCACCCAAGGCCGAATGATCGTCGGGAGCGATGGCGTACTGCTGATAGTGGGCACGTTCAAAAGGCGAGTTCCGGATCCTGATTTCAAGGTGAGAACCGACTGCTACTAACAACATAAGCAACAGCCAAAAACAGCCGCAGCTACTATTTACTTCAGCAGCACATTACTCTGCCATCTAAATTCCACCCGCAACAGAGCATGAACTGAAATTCAATTTACCTGTCAACCACCCACCGGATTATTTTTAACGAAATTCACTTTAAAATTCCTGCCAACCGGTCTCCGTCCGGTTCGTTTCCCGTTTCCAAGCCCCTTCCATCTTTCCAGTGCCCGTCCACCGGGGTGGCTTTCAATTCCGAGCGCATAACAGGAAACAAAATTGAATTTCTCCACCAATGATGGTCTTTTGCAGTTCTGTCACACACATCTTTCTGCATTGCAAAAGATGGGCGTCCAAGTGGCTGTCCGATTCACCTTCCTCAATCCATTCCGAAGCATCCAGGTTCGCTAAAATAAACACCGAAGCAGAACCAGAACCACCACCACCACCAGCAGCAGTGCAAAAGTGCAACAGTTTGTGGTGCACCAAAGCTCCACCAGCGATCCAACAAACATGCCACAGAGTTTATGTGGCATGTTTTCTGCGCAACCTCAAACCCCCACCGCTCAAGCCGCCGACTGACTTTCTGTTGCTCAACCGGAATCGACAGTCGATTTCGTGCCGGCTAAAAGCAGAAAGAACAACACTGCTGCGCAAGATGAAAGGAAGCTTGACTTCCTTGGAAAAGGATATTGAAAGCATTTCATTTCCGTCCTCTCCCCGGGGTGACAACTCGTCGCCTTTTGGTTCCATCTCCAGATGATGGCGAATGGAAAAATTGAGCAAAGATTTGATTGTCACTGCGGATTTCGTTTCGAGCTTTGGCTATCGATGTTGGAGAAGTGAAACGGAACTGATATAAAATAATGATGTTGCGTTTCCGAGAATGAACTGACGATGGTTGTGAGCTTGCTGGACCTCGTAAAGTTACGCATATGATTGAGAGGTCTTTTTGGTGTGCTTGATTAGATTGATGACAAAACTCATTTGGCAAAAAATGTAGTTGTAAGTTTGAAAAGTACAGAGTGATTCGGGATAACTGTCATTTTCAGAAATGGTCATAACGATTGAACGCTTACATAATGTTTTGATATCAGTATATTTCATATATACTACATACATATATAACCTTCAACTTAGCATACCTTTGTTCAAATCTCTCTCCCTTTACCTTTAATTACCAGCCACATTTGTCACGAAAATGAACCACAGCTGGCACGAATGTTTCAGTTCCAGCCCTTTTAGAGTCCTGGCGATGCGTTCAAGCTGTGATATTGAACGGATTTTCCATGCATGGTTCCTTTTTACCTCTACAAGAGATTTCAGTTTCTAAAACATAACACACGAATTTATACAGATTTACATGCTCCATTTCCACGTCCATGGCTGCTTGAAATCGAAATCGATTTAAATTTCAAATCCTTCTATCAATACAAGCTAATATTTGTGCACACTTTAAAACAAAAGTACCTGAACAAAGACCTATTTTACCCATTGAGAATTGCATATTTGTGAAATCGGTGACAGTTATTCTGAATCACCCTGTAATGTTCATTAAAAAGAATTCTGAGATCTCTAGTTGATTCTGTTGGTTGAAACCCAAACAAAACCAAAAGTCGTATAACAATGTATAGCCAGTATCTTAAATTGCTACAGTTTAAGTCAACATCACATATAAGAATGGCATACATCCCATTGTGTTTAAGTTAATCAGTTAATTAGTCAACGATATACCGCCCATTACACTTCATAAGCATTGGTGTAGCTAATGGGGGTGCCAAGGGAGCCAGGCCCCTTCCAGAATTATTCAGGTCCCCTCCCAGGAATTTAAGGTGGTTTTTATACACCGTTATTTTGGCCTGCAGTTTTGAGATTACTTTTTATGTTGATAGATTTTTATGAATGTTTACTTTTCTTAATGTTCTTGACTAGAAGAAACAATGTCGGGAATTTATATTATATCGACATTTAATCGATAGCATAATAAGACGTCTTCAGGCTCTTTCAATTGACCAAGAGTTCATGGAATTTTCTTTAACCTCAGGGAACTTCGTAAAACTTCAAGGACTTCTAAGAAGTTCAGGGAACGTCGTAGAAATTAACAAAACTAGAAACTTAATAGAGCTTCAGAAAAATTCGTAGAAACTCAGGGCGCTTTGAAAAAGTTCAGAAAACTACGTAGAAGAGGGAACTCTATTTAAGTGTTGGGATCTTTGTAGATGTTAAATATTATTTAATTTCAGGGAATCTCATTATTGTTCGAAGATCTTCATATAATTTCAGGATATTTTGACGTAGACTACGTCTTACTGGAAGGTACTGAGGGTACATCGAAAATCTAAAATTGCGACCGTCACGAAAAGGTGTAAGATTTTGAACGCTTATAACTTTGTCATTTATAGATTAAATTAAAATCCAAATAAACCAAGAAGATAAGAAATAACTCTCGTAAGCTGTTACAATAAACGCTTTTTCAATTTTTCATGAAAAACTGTTTTATAAATGTACAAATAAAAAGTGATAATTTTATTACTGTTTTTATGAAACCCAGTCGTGATAATCGAGTACCATTTGGTTGCACATCGTGCTGCTTGAATCTGAAAAGTTATAAAACAGTGCTGCTAATGTGCCTCAACTCATACACCCCCAAAGGGGTATTCTGAACACTAGTTGAAAAGCGCAAATATTAAATTAGAATATCAAATTAAACAAAGATGAAGAGCCAAATAGGCTAATCAATTAAAATGTTAAATCAATGTACTACCACAATCAACAGAAATAAACATAATTTTACTACATGTTTACTAATGCCTCAACTCATTTTCGCTTCGGACGGCGGGTAAGCAGGTAGCAGCAGCAGCAGTAGTAGGAAGGCAATTCCTGTTAAGCGCGCAGCGTTCATGTTTTGCACCTCGAACTTTGCGCGTCGTTCCCGTCGAGATCACTGGCTACTGGTGGCGGCGTCGCCTCGATGGCGCAAGCGCTCCTTGTCTGAATGATAACTACAAATCAAGACCAACAATTGAAATGGCCTTAACTCCATTTTGTAAACAAACCTTGTAAGTTCATTTTCTCGCGAACCGAAACCTTCATTCGCAAACCTCAACCGCAATCGGGTAGAGGAGAATTATCCCTACCTGTTCATTATGTTGGTTTGCCTTTGCGGACTTCGGTTCGGTTCGGTTTGTTTACAAAATGGAGTCAAGACCATTTCAATAGTTGGTCTTGAAATCTCGATTACTTTTTCGAAAGGACATATCAGCTTTTGTAAACAACGCATTTTATCGTCGGTTTGGCATAACTGATAGCTCGCCCCACATACTAACACCACTATATCAGGTGGAGTAAAATTTCCTCTATCTGATGGTAGTGTTAGCATGCGTGGGTGAGCTACCAGTTACGCCAAATCAACGATCAAATGCTTTGTTTACAAAAGCTTCTTGGGCTGTGTACCAATAGCCGAGTTAAATTTTACTCGTGGTTAAATGTGACATTTCGAAACTTATTTTCAATGTTCGAAAATGCCAGAAATTGATCAGTTTTCAAACAGAACTCAGCCACGGTTACCAAAATTGAACTTCTAGTCGGTCCGAAATAACCACGCTAGTATAGCAGGAGGGTTATTCGATAACTCATCTGTCACTTTTAATCACGAGTTAAATTTAACTCGCCCATTGCGACTCAGCCTTGGAAGTAAAATTAGGGCCATCCATAAATTACGTATATATTTTTTGACCAATTAACCTCGGAGCGTGTTTTGCAATACACCTAATACATGGCCGGTCCCAACTTCTGAAACCCCTCTCCTCCTTCAACTACTACGTTATTTATGAAAGTTCCCTAATCATTGGGCAACTGTGAAAATCAGCAGCACGCACCACACAAAACGGGTTGGAAATTTAGGCGAAATTTTGGTATTAATTGTCAATATCTCACGATCAGAACATTTTAGCTTGAAATCCCTCCATTTAATTCTCGGTACATCTTTAATCTATTGATTGAATAAAAAAAATACTACCGTGCGGGACCGAAATCCGTACAGCACCGAAATCCGTACACCCTGTTGAATTTGTTTATTTATATGCATCATATCAATGTTAATATTATACATGAATACATATTCATGTTCATTTATGCATTAGCTTGATATTGACGTCAATAATTAAGCAGTATGTCATGCAATTAAAATAAGAAAAATGAAAACCTTATCACGTGTCGGGCATTTCTGCCAATCGGTTGCGTTCTTAACGATTTACTTCCAGTTGTAAAGCGTATTTAAGTGATTTTTTGCAAGTAGTTTCCTGAAGGTCGATCGGAAAGGTAAGTGTTTATCGTTTTATGTCTCAATTCTAAGCAATGGATCATTCATATAGTATTTATTTATCAAAATTAGTACTGTACGGATTTCGATCCATGTATAACAGCTGATTCTAAATCCGTAATTCATGTGTTTCACTTATACATTTTTGCCAAAAAATCAACCTTATACATTCCATAAGACAAACCACATAGGTCCTATAAGAATGCATAAAAGGTATGTGTGACCGCTTATACATTTCATTTGACACATGACCTTCATTAACTTTTTGCAAGGCGTCTGCTTATTAGTTGACTTATACATGTTATGAATAATCAGCAATAGAAATTTGCCAAAAGGTATAAGGAGATTTCTATCCGTGCAGGGATTTTGCCGTTCCATTCACCACCATAAGAGATACCGTACTGAATTGCTACTCTCTTATTTTATTCGTATTGTAAATGTTATATTATAAACAATTAATGAAGAGCGCCAAGAACCAGCCGAAAAGGAAAACAACACAGCTCCCCTACAGGATATCACCAACACGCATATACAAATTACAGAGAGCAGACCTAAATGGGCAAGAGAGCATTCCCAGCAGTAGCCACCAGCGAGGAATGGCCGGAAATATACATGAAAGTAGAGCGGGAGATAATTCATAAAGAGAACGCAAAGAAACACAGGAGGA